ATGCGATTTTAATTTCTTATTTAATGAAAACACTGAAATTGTGAAATTGGTTTTTTCTATGTTAGCAGGATACTGAAAGATTTGTGCATATTTGTAATGGATTAGCAGCGATTGTTAATCTATTAAAGCCGTCTGAGTTAGACTGCAGGTAACAACCTTTGGGTTTCACTGAGCCAAGCCGCTCCGTTTGGAACCAGCAGAAACTGGAATCCGTTTGTGTTTCAGTCGATTCCCTGAGACCTGCCGTGCCAACGTCTCCTTTAAGGAAATGGTGAATTGTGTCCTGTGACGCGAGTAGTCGGTGTTGACAGTTGGAGGACACAGAAAAAGGAAGAAAAAGAAGACAGCCAGAGGAAAGAGGGCGATGAAGACAAGCCCAGATCTGGCTCCCTCCTCTTCATCACCATGCTAACAAGCTAGCAGCTACGGAGAACTAATCCTCATATCTCATCTTTCTCTCTTCCTGTCTTCCCTTGTTGTGTTTGTTGTGAGCCTTAGAGGATAAATATCCAGACCGTCCAAACGCGGCGCGGCCTTCAACATATGATGAGACAGAAACGAAAAAAAAACTCCGGAGAATCTTTTAGACGGCGACTTTGATGGCAATATGTGCCGCTGTCGCCCGGGGCAGCCGAGGGACGCGACGTCGGATAACGTGCGTGGTGACGGGGTCCGCGGGGTTACACGCCCTCCGGGGCAGGGGCGGAGCCTCCCACTGACAGACGGGAGATTGAGATGTGGCGGGGGGCGGGGCTAAAGCAGAACGCCGGCCGCCGCGAGGGGAAGCGTGGGGATGAAGCTCAGCTGCCAGCAGTCATCAGATCACTCTCGCTCTGTTTGTGTCCGTGTGTGTGTGTGTGTGTGTGTGTGTGTGTGTGGTGATAAACCGCTCACACTGAGGCCTGTGACTTTAACTCCCTGACATCTGTATCCCAGATCCAGTCGTTACGTGGTGAAAGACCAGAATAAAGTAAATAAGTGTCAGTGCAGGCTCGCCTCAGCTCTCCAGGCGTTCGGATGTGGATGTGTGTGTTGGTATCTGACAGCCCGCGGTAACAGGAGGTGGGTGGGGGGCGGCGGGACCCCGGCGCAGCAGGAGCGCTGCAGGCTTTCTCCTGATTATGTAACCATGTGAACAGATGCAGCAGTCGCCGCGGGGCGCCGCGCCGGAGGGGGACGGCGGTCCGGCAGGACGAGGCGGCGCCGACCACCAGTCACTCTCTGATCCGTCACATGTCAGGCCTCTGGGTGGGAGAACACCTGGATGCAGGAAGCCGCCACTTGTTTGTCACGCTTTGTTTTAGTTTAACAGCAGAAACTCAGATCAGTTTAAACGAGATGAAGATGAAGCGTTTAAAAAATGAATCATGTCCCTCAGTTCTTTTAATGAAAGGAAAACACAGCAGAACAGTTAAACACAGACGCCTCAGCGGCCATGATGGAATTTATCCACCAGGACAAAAGAATTTGCTGAGTCACTGGTTGCTATGACGATTCCCGCCTTTTCTGGGAAGCTTCTATTGGACGACACAAGTTGTCTGGATAGGAAGTTATTCTTTAACATCCAGACATAAACATAGACATCTTCTCCGGACTGGACTGTAAACAAACCGACTTCCTAAAACTCAACCAGAGTCAGACTGACGTGAAGTTTTTCAGCAGATATCGATTATCTGAATAAATATAAGGAGTCAGGATTAAAAACCTCAGGGTTTGAGTAGATGTAGGTCTTATATTTTATTTTATGAGCGGTGCTAACCCACCTTCACTACGACTCAGCTGGATCACTGTCCTGCTCTTCCTGTGGCTGGTCGAGTTTTTACCCTCTCTGCTGCCCAGCGCATCGTAAACATGAGCTCAGCCCCGTTTTAGCTTCACTCCGCTGGACTCCCAGACATTACAAGCTTCTCCTTCTCATTTCTCTGATCTGCCGCACCGTTAAGCTCTCCACCCACCAAACCGCCCCGCCCTCCATCAGCAGAGGATCAAACTGGATCATATTGATCAACTGTGAGTCTGGATGTTTGATTGGATTGAATTAAATCTGTATTTCTGTTGATGAAAAGTTTTCTGTTCTATTTAAAGAAACTACATTTGTTGTAAATTCATAAATAAACTCAACTGAATGAATGAATGAATTTAATCTCAGATGATGACCAGAATAAATGGACTCTGGCTACATAAACCTGCATCGCTACAGACAAGAATGGAGATAAAATTAAGTAAAATGTCTGTATTGACTTGATGTTTACTAAGTTTTGAACCACTGATGTCACATTAGATGTATTTGAGTGTTTTTAAAACGTGATTTTCTGTTGTAGCTGAAAAGTAGGTCAAAAATAGAAAGACAAGGACTTCATGCACTAAGACATTACTCATCTTAAACGATTAAACTGCTTTACTGGTTGTATCTAAAATCATGAACAATCGCTTTCATGGCTGCTTTAAATTTTGGATTTTTTAGCCGCAGTTGTCTTGATTGATCATTTATGAGTTACCAATAGGAAATAATCCACTTTCTGCAGAATAAGCCCGTCTTACGGCTCCTATAGACTAGCGGCAGCAGCAATTAGCAAAAACCTGGTGGAACTGCGAACCTGCTGAGCTCATCATATGAATCAGCGTTTTCAGTCCAACGCTCCTGAAAACGGTTTTAAACAGCAAAATGAAAGAGCAGGAGCTTCTTAAAGAGACTGACTAAACAGACGGACATGGCCAGACATTTTCTGAAGGACGGTTCTGTTTCAAACTACGAGCTTAACTTCAAAATTACGTCTCTGTACAAAAGATGTTTTTTTTCTTAACTCTTATCTTTAAACCACAACAAGACATCAACAGACGTCTTTGTTGGTTCTCTCTGTGAAGAACATTTTCACCTTTTAGCCGCACAAAGCAACAAAAAGACAAAAGAGCTGCATGTTTAGTCTGTTTTCAGTGAAGATGTTGATCAGGTTGCCTCCGCCTGCATGTTGCCTGGTTTGTCCTGAGAAGCAATCAGAGCTCAACCTGCAGCATCCTTCATCGTCACTGAATCACAGGAATATCTTTAGTGCAAATCAGCTAATTAACACTGCTAATTTAAAAAGGTGTGAAACGGAGACTTTGGCATTTCAAACCCGTTGACGAATGATTTCAAACTGTTTCCAGGTAATGTGGATCTGATAAACCCCTTGGCTGACGGAGGCCACGTTGGCTCGGGGCGTCAAGGGAAATAACGCAGCCCGTTAAGATGCACCAAGGATTTTTCTCTTCCCTCCGGCGCCTCTGGAGGTCAATGCAACTGGGATTAAAGGCATTTTTCATGAGGAGACACAAGACGGCTGCGAGTTCAAGTGCAGGGGATGTAAATTACTGCAAACCGACTGGAAGAAACGGAAAACTCCATATTTCTTCCCTATCTGGTCCAACAGCAGTGCAGGAGGACATCAGCAGGCTGCACCACAAATCCCTGATATTAAACTGAATAAATGAGAAATTTGAGAGATTAATGGACTCAACGGTTCCACAAAACAAACCCAGCCTCAACAAAACTGCTGCTGCTGCAGAAAAGATGGAGAGAAAAATGGCTTCCTGCACAGAGACCAGCAGCGCTCACTCTGCTTTCCAATCTGGATTACCTCGGATTGGTTGTTTATAATTATTAGATTAATTTCCAAATCAGATTAGGTCACACAGATCAAGCAGCGGGATTACAAACCAAACCCAGAGTGAGCTGGAGCTGCTGTAAAATAACCCAGCAGATCAGTGATCCGGAGTGATCCGCTGATCCAGGTGTGACTGTATCAGCGCCGCGCCTCATTACGCCTGCGCTGATGCGATGCTGGGTGAGATAAGGAGCTGCAGGAGCGCAGCCTTCGGATGCGCTGCACCGCTCTGTCTCCAGCCGCGCAGCAGAGGCGGCGTTCCAGCTGGAAGTGATGGCTTAATAATTAAACCGCAGCTCTTCTTATCTGGGAGCGGATAAGAGCAGCAGCAAACATCTCTGGCAATCGCAGCCTGTTGTTTCTCTCTCATTTAACAGCAAATCAGCTCTGGGTCCAACCCTGCAGCTCCAGCCCTGCAGCTCCAGCCCTGCAGCTCCAGCCCTGCAGCTCCAGCCCCGCTGGTTGTTTGACCAGAACTCAGAGTCTGAACACAAACCGCAGCTTTGACACCAACATGCAGCACAAACGCACACAACTCCCAAAAACCCAACATAAACTACTCCATAAAACCATGACAACTGGGAGTTTCTACAACAGTTTCACTTGTTTTCCAAGGTGAAATAAAATACAACCCATAAAAATACAGTGATAATAAACCTATTCATTTGATGATGCATCTGAAAAAGAGCATCACATAATAATTCATTAGGTTTTCTTGTAAAAAAAAATTCACCATCTTCTCTCAGCTGCAAAATATTAAAGTTCAATTCCTAAGTAAAATTTTTTTTCAATTAACTAATGAAAAATTATTTCATACTAATTACTTATGACAATAAGATACCTTAAAAGTTAAAGTGGAGATACAGTTCGAGAAAAATGAGAAACTAAAAGAAATTAATTAACTTGGTTTAAATGTCATATTTAAATACAATAAAATAAAAACTTATGATTAAATGTTTCAAAATAAAATCCTAATTGATGGTTTTAGCCGTTAAACACCGAGATTTTGTCATATTGGCAGCAATTAAATCAAAATTATATTTTTTAAAAAAATATAAAGAATAAACTTTTGATTTAATGTTTATCCAACGGGGGAAATATATAATTTAATTTAAAGAAAAATTATCAGAAGCTTTCAGGAAACATTTTTTTTCTTCTGTAGTTGCATTACGCACGTGCGTTCTTTTCCTGCCGTGCACGCGCGTGCTGTCAAATACTTGGAAAACGCGCGCGCGCATCCAAATTTGAGCACGTGTGTGTTTTAGCGCCTCAGTGTGATATCGTGTGTGTGTGTGTGTGTGTGTGTGTGTATGAACACATGAAGCCCGTGGTGTGGTGCGCGCGCGGCCCACTGACCTCCGCGTGTCTCCGGGGGCAGCCACGCCACGAACCGCTGCCATCAGAAATCACAGGACAGGATGAGTTAAAATCAACGCGCCGCCGTGTCTCCCACTCAGTCCCAGTCACAGTGACTTCCGCCGCGCGTTTCCTCCCTCATGTCCGTCACCGGCTCCTGGTCCCGGACCTCAGGGCGCGCGGACTCACCCACCGACCCACGCGGGGGGGGAACCGGCCGCAGTCAGGCTGAAGTTGTGGAGTTAAACCATCCCCGCTGCTGCCGCCGCTGCTGCTGCTGCCACGGATTCGCCTCTGTCAGCTCTGGACACACAAACGCAACTGAAGCGCTTTTACGCACAGCGCGTCAGAGCCGAGGGGGGCAGGGGGGAGGGGTTTCATTCCGAAAAGGGGAGAGAGAGAGAGAGAGAGAGAGAGAGAGAGAGAGAATGGAGATGAATAAAAAGGAGAACTGTTCTGGGTGAGAATATTTAGACAGAATATGATCATATTTGTATTTCAGTTTCATCTGGTTCCAGATTCCCGGAACAGAACCGAACTCAGAACATGTGTAGCTCCATCCATCTTCATATTCTCTCAGTATTCCCTCAGCATGACGCAGCAACCACCGTGTCAGGTTGATAAATGGTGCGTTCAGGTGATGCTCAGAGCAGATTCTTCTGCCATGAATTATGATTTATGGAAACTGTAAGTGATGAAATCCACGAAACTGACCTAATCTTTACTCATATCAAACTCCTGGGTTTCTACTGCAATTAACACATTTTAACCAACAAACTGGATCCACATCATCCCCACAGCGGCACGTGGTGGTGGCAGTGTTATGCTGTGGAGAGGCTTTTCTTCAGGTCAGTGAGAAGAGGGACGGAGCTAAAAATGCTGCTAATTTTAGGACAAACAGCTGCTATGAAATGGTTTAGAATGGTCCAGTCAAAGTTCAGACCTGATTCAAATTGATCATCTGTGGAAAAACTTGATGTTCTCCATCCAGTCTCCCTGACTTTCAGCTTCTTTCCAAAAACCAAAGGACAGAAACTTCAACTCTAATTCCTGTCAGAACTTCACTTCTCTTCATATTTTTGTCCCTTCAGGAAAATAAACGCCACCAAATAAAACGCTGCTCCTCCAGAAAACGTCAGTCCGTCCTCACAGCTTCCTGCTGCTGAGAGGGAATCAGTTTTTCTGTTCGCAGCTCGGAGGAGCTCCGTCCGTCCTGCTGATTATTTAGAAAGCTTTGAAGTTTTGCATCACTTCGCTGTTTCCTAACGAGTTTGTGAAGAAACCATCAACCTAACGAGCTCATTAGGGTCTGAGACCTCGGCAGAAATGAGCCCAAAGCTCAAACTGATCCAGCTAAACTCCCTTCACTCTATTTACATATTAAATGAAAATACAAATGTTTATTTATGTTTTAAATTGTGATAATCATTGCAGATTAATTGCACATGAATTCAAGGTTTTTAGTTTTTTTGTCATTGGTTTGTGAAATCACGTTAAGCTGCCTTCTGCTTTGGTCCTTGTAGATTTTTAAGCTCAGTTTATTTGAGAAAAAAGGGGGAATTTTTTAAAAAATTCAATGATTATTTGGGGATTTAGGTTAATCTTGATCAATAAACAGCTGTAGGGCCGTTTAATTAGCTCTCTGAGCAGAGATTACTTTTAAAGATGAATAAAACCAATTTAACAAACTAATATTTCCTGAGGAAAATGAAGCAATAAACCTACATGTGGCTCAGTCCTTTGAGTTTTAATTTGAAAGCTCTGTATTCTTTCAAATCATTGGAGCAAATATGTCTGAAAAAGATCTAGATGGATAAAACCACTAGCTGCACTATGTCGTAATTGGTGTTTCAGTTAAGTAAGTAATGTAATTAAAATCACACATGAATAAGTTTGTGCACCTGATAAATCACTGCTGCTCCCCCCCATCATCCTCCAATCACTTCCTGTCGCCTTCTTCGTATTTTCCATCAGTAGTAACATCCATTGTTGATCACATGACTGTTACGAAACAATTGTTTCTACTGCAGTTTTGCGAAATACGCAAATTTCAATGCAGACGAAAAAACATCTGATCCTACCACAAAAACCTTTCTGGAAAAACGTGTTCTTTTTTAAACTGCCGTGTTTCTAAAAAGCTCATTTATTTTCACAATTCCAATTTGTGCAATTATAAAGTCAGTGGAGACACAGATAGTGGTAAACCAGAATCTTAAATCTTAATTACCCTAACCAAAAGACTTTTGGTTTGTACTCACATCAGAACTGGTTAGTCCACTTTAATCCAACTCCAGTCCGTTTGCATAGAAAGTCCGGTTCCGGTTGGGGAGGTGAGAACGCGTATTCAAACCAAACCAAAAACTTTTCCATAAACCTCGATCTGGTTTCTGTTGAGGTGAACTCTGGCGCAGTTTGAACAAAGATGTAAACACCAAACGCACCGGAGGTCGCTCAAAAAGCAGGAAGTGGACTACAGAACAGGGCATTCTGGGTAAATACAACCAAAGCAAAGCGCCAGCATAAGAAATTTCTCGTGTTTTTTTGCCAGACATAAAATCCTCCAACTGCTAAAATCTGACCCTATTCCATTCTTGACATCTCATGAAGAAGAAAATTGCGCTCAGGGTCTTCTTCTGAGGTTTTCATGTTGTTTTCTTCAGTAGTTCAAGGTGCAGCGCCCCCACAGGCGAGCAGGGGAACAGTTTGCTCAAAAGGTTTGGTATGTTTTATACAGAGCAGCGAGAAAGAGAAGCACAGCAACAGGAAATGTAACAAATGTTACAGCTCTAGTCCTGAATCAAACCGAGTCTGCTGGACTATCAGGTGTGTCAACACAAATTTAAGATTCAATAAACCTTCTGACATATACAGAGTTTTGAATTGTTCTGGTCTGTTCTCATAAGAATAATAAAATAACAGCTGGAACTGCCCTAAAATAATTACACTGCAACATTTCGGTCCAGAACCAGCTGAATATGTTCACCAGGTTAAATCAGAACCTGTCAGTCATGTTTAGTAAATCTGCTGAAGCTCATTAAACGCTGGAAACCTGATAATTTATTCAAACCTCCATCAGAGCGAAATGTTAGTTTAGTTTTATTACAGAATGACTCTCCTCATCATTGCCATCCTGTTTTGGGTTCTTGGAGAGATAATTGGACTCAAAGAAACTTCCTGCTTCCTTCCTGTTTAGAAGATTTAAATTAGAGGAAAAACTCCAGCTTAACGTGCAGCTCAGACAGAAGATGAGCAGGCGGCGAGGCGCGTCACGTTCTCAAGGTTTTCAGCTTTTCTATCTCAGCAGAAACCAATAATCTGATTCATGTCATGGAATAAAGTTTACTCTTTAGCTGTGGGCAAGAAGTCTGAAAAGGAAGAAAAGTTAAGAAAGAGCATAAAGGTGAAGCAGGAGTTCAGTTTATTCCTTCTGACCAAATGAACCGGATCAACTTTCACTTCAAACGGTTTTAAACTTTCAGGCGATGCAGAAAAATCTGGTCAAGCTTTCAAACTGCTTTATTCCATTTATTGTCTCATGAAAACATAACATCCTTGACAGGCCCTTTTCTCCCAGCAGCCATTGTAAAATTGATGCAGTCTTTTCACAATAAAAGCATGGTGCTGATGGAAGTGGGAGTTTTTCTGCTTGTAAAGAGAGCTGAGGAATGTGGCGACCACCAGCCGCCGCCATCGCCGCCGGTCTCCGTTTAGATCAATCAGCCATGCGTGAGCGGCGCTGGGTGGCCCGGTTCCGATCCGCTGCTCCCACATGTGACCAGGATGCTGCTTGTTGCCTGTGTGAGTTTGGTTTGCTGGAGCAGAAACATGTCTCAGCCAGTGTGTGTGTGAGACATGGCAGATATGTGTTAGTGTGTGTGTGAAGGCAGGGAGCTAATTTAAAGTGAAATGTGGAGTTTGCTGGAGTGTGACTGTTGGTCTGAAGATGCAGACAACACAGCATCAACATTCAACACATATTTTATTCAAATCAAACTGCATGACGGCACAGAAGAAGAAAATAAAACTGAACATTGTGACCCTGATTAAACAATGTTTTCATACGGTGTTAATTAGTTCATCATTTACTGTGATAACCAGGAAACATGTCAACCATTTTCCATGTTTTCATTAATGATTCTTCATGCACTTTTTACGTTTACTGAATAAGTTCTGATGTAGAAAACCTCCTCATCCACCGCTGAGTCTGTGCCTTACCAGAGGCATGAAACTTGGAAAAATGACAAAGTCCAAACCTCCAGCTTGACTGATGCAGTTTATGCTAGTTTGCAATGTCTACTTCCTGTTTAACATCTACTTTCTGTTTAACGTCTACTTCCTGTTTAACGTCTACTTCCTGTGTGTCTACTTCCTGTTTAACGACGTCTGATAAAGTCACGTTTTGTGTATCCTGGTTGATTCGCTCCAAGCCAGTAGATGGAAACAAATCTAATCCACATTTTCTTTTTTGCAACATTTTAAAGGTTTGCTCAAATTTCACAAAATTGGAAATTTATAGACAATCATAAGAACATTTATAATTCTATTACTGTTTATTGTGAATCAGTTCTAAAAACTCAACACTAAACAACAGCAGCAAACTGATAAATTATGCTTTCATGTGCTAAATAAACCTTGAATCGTTCTGTAACGCTGTTTATGACCTTTGACCCCTGCAGGCATCCATCCTGGTTCCTCTGCAGCTGATTACCAAGGAGCGTTAAGGTCGACCTGATTAAGATGCTCGTTACGTTGATTTATGGTCTGGTTTCAGTCAAAATGGCCGATCATTAATCAGGATGTGGTTCCAGTCACATCGTCCACAGCTGAGTTAATATTAATAATGTTGAGCTGACAGGAAGCTGCATTTGGTTTTTCTACTATTCTCACATCTGGAATTAGTTTTAAAAAATGCTTTTGTAACACGACACTAATTAATGTACGGAAATATTCTGAGAAAAGTTTCTACATTTCTTTTGATGTTAAGAGCTATCAAACACATTGGAGAATAAAATACAGTCAGAAACAAACGCTGAATGATTTTGATCGTGGATCGTTCAAAATTTTTGAAAAATCAAATAAACCACAGGAGAACTGTGGGCTAAATTTATTAGTGAAAGTAAAAATGTTTCCAAATAATGTGAAGGGAACTCAAAGGATTGAAAACAAGAAAACTAAAACTAAGTGAAGCTAACTGGAGTAAAAAGGCAACAGTTTGCATGAACTGATACTAAATTATTCACTGCAAAAACATAAAATCTTACCAAGTATTTTTGTCTAGTTTGTAGTTAAAATATCTTATTAAACTTTAAATAAAACAAAA